ACTAGACCAACCCATGCTTCACTAGACCAACCCATGCTGTAGTCACTAGACCAACCTTTGCTGCACTAGACCAACCCATGCTTCACTAGACCAACCCATGCTTGAGTCACTAGACCAACCCCTGCTGGAGTCACTAGACCAACCCATGCTGTAGTCACTAGATCAACACATGCTGTAGTCACTAGACCAACCCATGCTGGAGTCACTAGACCAACCCATGCTGTAGTCACTAGACCAACCCATGCTGTAGTCACTAGATCAACCCATGCTGTAGTCACTAGATCAACCCATGCTGTACTAGACCAACCTATGCTGTAGTCACTAGATCAACCCAAGCTGTAGTCACTAGATCAACACATGCTGGAGTCACTAGACCAACCCATGCTGGAGTCACTAGACCAACCCATGCTGTAGTCACTAGACCAACCCATGCTGGAGTCACTAGACCAACCCAAGCTGTAGTCACTAGATCAACCCATGCTGTACTAGACCAACCTATGCTGTAGTCACTAGACCAACCGATGCTGTAGTCACTAGATCAACACATGCTGTAGTCACTAGACCAACCCATGCTGTAGTCACTAGACCAACCCAAGCTGTAGTCACTAGATCAACCCAAGCTGTAGTCACTAGATCAACCCATGCTGTAGTCACTAGACCAACCCATGCTGCACTAGACCAACACATGCTGTAGTCACTAGACCAACCCATGCTGGAGTCACTAGACCAACCCATGATGTAGTCACTAGATCAACCCAAGCTGTACTAGAACAACCCATGCTGGAGTCACTAGACCAACACATGCTGTAGTCACTAGACCAACCCATGCTGTAGTCACTAGACCAACCCATGCTGCACTAGACCAACCTTTGCTGCACTACACCAACCCATGCTTCACTAGACCAACCCATGCTTGAGTCACTAGACCAACCCCTGCTGGAGTCACTAGACCAACCCATGCTGTAGTCACTAGATCAACACATGCTGTAGTCACTAGACCAACCCATGCTGGAGTCACTAGACCAACCCATGCTGTAGTCACTAGATCAACCCATGCTGTAGTCACTAGACCAACCCATGCTGGAGTCACTAGACCAACCCATGCTGCACTAGACCAACCTTTGCTGCACTAGACCAACCCATGCTTCACTAGACCAACCCATGCTTGAGTCACTAGACCAACCCCTGCTGGAGTCACTAGACCAACCCATGCTGTAGTCACTAGATCAACCCATGCTGTAGTCACTAGACCAACCCATGCTGGAGTCACTAGACCAACCCATGCTGCACTAGACCAACCTATGCTGGAGTCACTAGACCAACCCATGCTGGAGTCACTAGACCAACCTTTGCTGCACTAGACCAACCTATGCTGTAGTCACTAGACCAACACATGCTGTAGTCACTAGACCAACCCATGCTGGAGTCACTAGACCAACCCATGCTGTAGTCACTAGATCAACCCAAGCTGTAGTCACTAGATCAACCCAAGCTGTAGTCACTAGACCAACCCATGCTGTAGTCACTAGACCAACCTTTGCTGCACTAGACCAACCTATGCTGTAGTCACTAGACCAACACATGCTGTAGTCACTAGACCAACCCATGCTGGAGTCACTAGACCAACCCATGCTGTAGTCACTAGATCAACCCAAGCTGTACTAGAACAACCCATGCTGGAGTCACTAGACCAACACATGCTGTAATCACTAGACCAACCCAAGCTGTAGTCACTAGATCAACACATGCTGTAGTCACTAGACCAACCCATGCTGGAGTCACTAGACCAACCCATGCTGTAGTCACTAGATCAACCCAAGCTGTAGTCACTAGACCAACACATGCTGTAGTCACTAGACCAACCCATGCTGGAGTCACTAGACCAACCCATGCTGTAGTCACTAGACCAACCCATGCTGGAGTCACTAGACCAACCCATGCTGGAGTCACTAGATCAACCCAAGCTGTAGTCACTAGACCAACACATGCTGTAGTCACTAGACCAACCCATGCTGGAGTCACTAGACCAACCCATGCTGGAGTCACTAGATCAACCCAAGCTGTAGTCACTAGATCAACACATGCTGTAGTCACTAGACCAACCTTTGCTGCACTAGACCAACCCATGCTGTAGTCACTAGACCAACCTTTGCTGCACTAGACCAACCTATGCTGTAGTCACTAGACCAACACATGCTGTAGTCACTAGACCAACCCAAGCTGTAGTCACTAGATCAACACATGCTGTAGTCACTAGACCAACACATGCTGTAGTCACTAGACCAACCTTTGCTGCACTAGACCAACCTATGCTGTAGTCACTAGATCAACACATGCTGTAGTCACTAGACCAACCCATGCTGTAGTCACTAGACCAACCCATGCTGCACTAGACAAACCCATGCTGTAGTCACTAGACCAACCGATGCTTGAGTCACTAGACCAACCCATGCTGCACTAGACAAACCCATGCTGGAGTCACTAGACCAACCCATGCTTCACTAGACCAACCCATTCTGGAGTCACTAGACCAACCCAAGCTGTAGTCACTAGATCAACCCAAGCTGTACTAGAACAACCCATGCTGCACTAGACCAACCCAAGCTGTAGTCACTAGACCAACCCATGCTGCACTAGACCAACCCAAGCTGTAGTCACTAGATCAACCCAAGCTGTAGTCACTAGACCAACACATGCTGTAGTCACTAGACCAACCCATGCTGTAGTCACTAGACCAACCCATGCTGTAGTCACTAGACCAACACATGCTGTAGTCACTAGACCAACCCATGCTGTAGTCACTAGACCAACACATGCTGTAGTCACTAGACCAACCCATGCTGTAGTCACTAGACCAACCCATGCTGCACTAGACAAACCCATGCTGTAGTCACTAGACCAACCCATGCTGCACTAGACCAACCTATGCTGTAGTCACTAGACCAACACATGCTGTAGTCACTAGACCAACCCATGCTGTAGTCACTAGACCAACCCATGCTGTAGTCACTAGATCAACCCAAGCTGTAGTCACTAGATCAACCCAAGCTGCACTAGACCAACCCATGCTGTAGTCACTAGACCAACCCATGCTGTAGTCACTAGACCAACCCATGCTGCACTAGACCAACCTATGCTGTAGTCACTAGACCAACACATGCTGTAGTCACTAGACCAACACATGCTGTAGTCACTAGACCAACCCATGCTGTAGTCACTAGACCAACCCATGTTGCACTAGACCAACACATGCTGTAGTCACTAGACCAACCCATGCTGTAGTCACTAGACCAACCCATGTTGCACTAGACCAACACATGCTGTAGTCACTAGACCAACCCATGCTGCACTAGACCAACCCATGCTGTAGTCACTAGACCAACCCATGTTGCACTAGACCAACACATGCTGTAGTCACTAGACCAACCCATGCTGCACTAGACCAACACATGCTGTAGTCACTAGACCAACACATGCTGTAGTCACTAGACCAACCCATGCTGTAGTCACTAGACTACACCATGCTGCACCAGACCAACCCATGCTGCACTAGACCAACCCATGCTGTAGTCACTTGACCAACATGCTGGAGCCGGACGTTTTCCCGAAAGACACTTGCCCGAATGCCGTTTGCACGAAGGCCAATTTCCCGAATGGACACTTGCCCAAATGCGACAAATGCCCGAATGGACACTTGCCCGAATGCGACAAACGCCCGAATTGACACTTGCCCGAATGCGTCAATTGCCCGAATGGACACTTGCCCGAATGCGACAAATTCCCGAATGGACACTTGCCCGAATGGGACAAATGCCAAAATGGAAACTTGCCCGAAGGCCGTTTGCCCGAAAAATGTTAACATTATATATTATTAAATAACCATTCGTAATCAATTTAAATTTAAAATATTGATAAACAAAACACATCTACGCAAAAAGATAGGGAAAAAAATAATATTATATATTACCACCCAGACATTTTAAATTAATTAGTATTTGCTATTTAAAAAGTGTAGAAACATACTTTCTCTTCCATCTATGAAATAAGACAAAAATACCATTTTCATTTATCTCAGGATTTTAAAAAAAATTTTGGTTTCTTTATTAAGTAATCGCTTCAATACATTGTGTAAACAAGGTGCATTATGGAGATCAAAAATATTTGACTACCTTTAGTAAATTCGCCGCCTAGACCGCGCCTCATTCTTTTGTTAAATGATCACCACGCAAGTTTAGCATAACAAGATAAACAAACAAACGCGCCTTTGTTCATTGTTGCGAGACGCCTCGCCGCCTACGCCGTGTCATAAAAGCTATATAACCACCGCAACACGTCGTCTAAACAAGGTGTTCAAAACATTCATCAAAAGAATGTACGAACACCGCCACCAACATCACCTTACATTTATTAAAGAATAAACAATTTCTTACTGCACTTTCTCAGTTTTGAAAAAAAAAATAAAAGCTAAATTAAAAAATATGAACAACTTTGTTTTATTTTTAGAATTGTGTTTGTTATCAAAATTTCAAACTTAAATTGATTAAGAATGTATATTTGGGTATATTATTTATTATCTAATATTAACATTTTTCGGGCAAACGGCCTTCGGGCAAGTGGCTTTCGGGCATTTGTCGCATTCGGGCAAGTGTCCATTCGGGCATTTGTCCCATTCGGGCAAGTGTCCATTCGGGCATTTGTCGCATTCGGGCAAGTGTCCATTCTGGCATTTGTCGCATTCGGGCAAGGTCCATTCTGGCATTTGTCGCATTCGGGCAAGTGTCCATTCGGGCGTTTGTCGCATTCGGGCAAGTGTCCATTCGAGCATTTGTCGTATTTGGGGAAGTGTCCATTCGGGAAATCGGCCTTCGGGCAAACGGCATTCGGGCAAGTGTCTTTCGGGAATTTGTCGTAGACCCGTTCTGTTTATATACAAATTGGTAAAAAGGGGAGTTAATCACATAATTATTTTGTTGCATTGTGTTGTTAGCCTTTCCCGAGGGGAGGCAAGCACCCAAAATGTTTGTGAAGACTTTCAATCTTTCAATCATGGCCAGCATCCATGTAAGTGATCTCATCTTTTGGTCTCTTGATAATACACTGAAATAGAAAAAGTTTTGAAAAATTTATGCTTGCATTATAGTGCCTATAGCCCGTCCATCCAGCTCTAATGAGTACCTGACACAATTTGAGAAAGTAAAGGCAGATGGGTAAAGAATTCGTCATAGTTTTCATTCAGGTGAGCATAGTGTGTAAAAGGGTAACATTTCATTGTTTACTTTACAAATTCAATGTGGAATTGATTTGCGAAACAAAGAAAAATCTTAGAAGCAAGAGCATGAAAAACATAAAAAACAACAACTTACAGTCAATGGCCAAGACTAAGCTGAGGGGTCAACTTGTTTAAGCATGATTTAGCATAAAACTTACCGACCACTTGAGGGGCTCCTTATCACTTGCGAGGCAGCACTCAACAATGGAGAATAGAGTGATCTTATGTCTAGTTGAGCGATGACATGATTCGTCTGGCTTCCATTCTAGCAGAAGCTCAGGACATTTGGAGTTTTTGTGGTACTGAGAAGACGCCAGAGGCAGCCTCTGTCAAAATAAATGGAGTTTTCTGTGAGAGTACATTTTGGTAATGGGAACCCGTGGCCAAATAATAGCGTGTTTGACTGCTAACATAAACGTCTCAAGTTCGGGCCAGTGTTTAGTGTCGTAGCACATCTGAGTCCACCTAACTTTGATGGGTACCTAATTGGGTACTAAAGGCGACTGAATATTGTCCTATTCTCACTATCCCTTAATATGCCGAGGTGACAGAAAAATGTGAACGTTTCTTTACCTACTACGTGAGTAGACGACAAGTTTGAAAGGGGACATTACTTATATCTTCTTAAGGTACATGCAGCAAGTTAATATAATAATTTTTCCCCATAAGTGTTCATTTCAGTGATCATTAAGGAAACTTAACTTTGATCGCAATAGCTTTATTGTTATTTGTTAAGTTTTTTGCTTCTTTTTTTAGATTGTTTATAACATTTGTAACTACATCCATTTTAAATTAGAATGATTTATTTTCAAACAGTGCAAATAAGTGCATCCCATTAGAGATTTTAAAAAATATCATTTTCTATTTTTAATTGTTCATTGCGGATTAGTACAATCTAAAAAGAAAGGAATTTAATTATAAAATCTTGGGGACGGCGTGATTGGGTGTATTAAAGTATCAGCATCATCATCAGCCATCCGTTCTTTCACATTATCTTCCAGACAGCCCAAGGTGTACTGTATGAAAATCTTAACCATGTGTGCATTGATCACACTATATAAGGGTGGCAGAAGTCTGCTAGGCAACCACAGATGTGTCAAGGATTTTGCGGCAGTCGTGGTAGCAACCAATTACACAACCACAGATGTGTCAAGGATGTTGCGGCTTTCGTGGTAGCAACCAATTACACAACCACAGATGTGTCAAGGATGTTGCGGCTTTCGTGGTAGCAACCAATTACACAACCACAGATGTGTCAAAGATGTTGCGGCTTTCGTGGTAGCAACCAATTACACAACCACAGATGTGTCAAGGATGTTGCGGCCTTCGTGGTAGCAGCCAATTACACAACCACAGATGTGTCAAGGATGTTGCGGCCTTCGTGGTAGCAACCAATTACACAACCACAGATGTGTCAAGGATGTTGCGGCCTTCGTGGTAGCAACCAATTACACAACCACAGATGTGTCAATGATGTTGCGGCCTTCGTGGTAGCAACCAATTACACAACCACAGATGTGTCAAGGATGTTGCGACCTTCGTGGTAGCAACCAATTACACAACCACAGATGTGTCAAGGATGTTGCGACCTTCGTGGTAGCAACCAATTACACAACCACAGATGTGTCAAGGATGTTGCGGCCTTCGTGGTAGCAACCAATTACACAACCACAGATGTGTCAATGATGTTGCGGCCTTCGTGGTAGCAACCAATTACACAACCACAGATGTGTCAAGGATGTTGCGGCCTTCGTGGTAGCAACCAATTACACAACCACAGATGTGTCAAGGATGTTGCGGCCTTCGTGGTAGCAACCAATTACACAACCACAGATGTGTCAAGGATGTTGCGGCCTTCGTGGTAGCAACCAATTACACAACCACAGATGTGTCAATGATGTTGCGGCCTTCGTGGTAGCAACCAATTACACAACCACAGATGTGTCAATGATGTTGCGGCCTTCGTGGTAGCAACCAATTACACAACCACAGATGTGTCAAGGATGTTGCGGCCTTCGTGGTAGCAACCAATTACACAACCACAGATGTGTCAAGGATGTTGCGGCCTTCGTGGTAGCAACCAATTACACAACCACAGATGTGTCAATGATGTTGCGGCCTTCGTGGTAGCAACCTATTACACAACCACAGATGTGTCAAGGATTTTGCGGCCTTCGTGGTAGCAACCAATTACACAACCACAGATGTGTCAAGGATGTTGCGGCCTTCGTGGTAGCAACCAATTACACAACCACAGATGTGTCAAGGATGTTGCGGCCTTCGTGGTAGCAACCAATTACACAACCACAGATGTGTCAAGGATGTTGCGGCCTTCGTGGTAGCAACCAATTACACAACCACAGATGTGTCAATGATGTTGCGGCCTTCGTGGTAGCAACCAATTAAACAACCACAGATGTGTCAAGGATGTTGCGGCCTTCGTGGCAGCAACCAATTACACAACCACAGATGTGTCAAGGATGTTGCGGCCTTCGTGGTAGCAACCAATTACACAACCACAAATGTGTCAATGATGTTGTGGCCTTCGTGGTAGCAACCAATTACACAACCACAGATGTGTCAATGATGTTGCGGCCTTCGTGGTAGCAACCAATTACACAACCACAGATGTGTCAAGGATGTTGCGGCCTTCGTGGTAGCAACCAATTACACAACCACAGATGTGTCAAGGATGTTGCGGCCTTTGTGGTAGCAACCAATTACACAACCACAGATGTGTCAATGATGTTGCGGCCTTCGTGGTAGCAACCAATTACACAACCACAGATGTGTCAAGGATTTTGCGGCCTTCGTGGTAGCAACCAATTACACAACCACAGATGTGTCAAGGATGTTGCGGCCTTCGTGGTAGCAACCAATTACACAACCACAGATGTGTCAAGGATGTTGCGGCCTTCGTGGTAGCAACCAATTACACAACCACAGATGTGTCAAGGATGTTGCGGCCTTCGTGGTAGCAACCAATTACACAACCACAGATGTGTCAATGATGTTGCGGCCTTCGTGGTAGCAACCAATTACACAACCACAGATGTGTCAAGGATTTTGCGGCCTTCGTGGTAGCAACCAATTACACAACCACAGATGTGTCAAGGATGTTGCGGCCTTCGTGGTAGCAACCAATTACACAACCACAGATGTGTCAAGGATGTTGCGGCCTTCGTGGTAGCAACCAATTACACAACCACAGATGTGTCAAGGATGTTGCGGCCTTCGTGGTAGCAACCAATTACACAACCACAGATGTGTCAATGATGTTGCGGCCTTCGTGGTAGCAACCAATTACACAACCACAGATGTGTCAATGATGTTGCGGCCTTCGTGGTAGCAACCAATTACACAACCACAGATGTGTCAAGGATGTTGCGGCCTTCGTGGTAGCAACCAATTACACAACCACAGATGTGTCAAGGATGTTGCGGCCTTCGTGGTAGCAACCAATTACACAACCACAACGCGCCGAGTGCCACATCTGGTTTAGTTTAGTCATAAATTGTGTTAGTCCACAGTAAAACTCTTTAACAGAAATGCTTAAGGTGGAGCTAGGGATGTTCCTAGTCACTTAATGGCCCGGGCACCAGAGGATTCTCACGACCGATGATTCAACATAACTCATCTTACCCTTACCATACACCCCTACACCTTATAGCTCAACTTACCCTATAAGTTGCAACACGCCCCTACACCACATAACTCACCTTAACATATAAGACACAACACACCCCTAAACCACATAACTCACCTTAACATATAAGACACAATACACCCCTACACCATATAACTTACCCTATAAGACACAACACACCCCTACAGCACATAGTTTAACTTACCCTACCAAGACACAACACACTCTTACATAACATAACTCAACTTACCCTAACAACACATCCTAACAACACATAGCTCAACTAACCCTACAGAATAATACACCCTTACATCACATAACTTACCTCCAAGTAAACCCTCTTGACCACGCCCAGTTTCAATACAAGAACATCAAATGATTTGTCTAAAACTGCCATAACCATTCCACTCTCTTCCAGTGGTCCAGCCTATTATACGTGGAGATCAAAGAATTAAATCAGGCAAGCACCAACCAATAAACATGTTAATTCAAAAAAATTATTTTGCATACTATTTTAATGAGTAAAATCCATTTTAACTACTCAATCATGTTAAACTTGTTAATGTATATTAAAATTGAATTAAAGCATTTCTTAAATCAGTGTAAAAGAAATTAAATCTGATTCAAGCTCACACAAAGTAGTCTAATATTTATCAATAAAGTTTGGATGTGATTAGAGATGTACATGCATATTCATCAGCTTGCGAAATTATACATAAAAGCCAAATTATTCATTGTCTAGATTGTGACCTACATCACCTTACAAATGCTATATAAATTCTGGGTAACTTCACCCACTTTGATAAACAGGTAGGAGAATATTTCGTCGCTCCTTTTTGATGCTACCTGAGCTGCGTGACTCTTTACATTGCAGTGTTCTGCCTGCCTTCGTAAATCTTGGATAGAACGCGTTGGTGGTTCACGACCTTCTAGAATATTGATATGCAAAGAATGTTTTTTAAAAAAACACAAAGAAGATTATACAAAAATAACTTAAACAATTAGATAAAATAAGCAACACTTATTGTAGACAACTTCTAGCTTCTCACAGCTCAGTTTGACACCTGTATTTTTAACTGTTATCTAGAAAACTTTGTTTACTGCAAACATGTCATTCAAAGAATATCTGTGCTACAAGTTTAATTTTAAAATATCAGTTTATTTTTTTTTATGTTGAGATACTGAATAATATCGTAAAATGCTACTTTTCTAGGGGTCGGCGTGGTCGAGTCGGTAAAGCTCATGGTTTCTAAACCGAAAAGTCTCGAGTTCGAACCCTCGGGCAGACGAGGCTCGTTAGCTGGGGACAGCCACTCTTCTAGGAGAGACAACTCCAAAATCAAACACCTGCTGCCTTGTAGTTTGTTCTTGGCTATGGAAGCAAATCCAAAAATGAAAAGCAGGCTGAAATCGGAGTCAATGGCCTCAATGGCGCATAACCAGTTGACACGTAACGCTTAATTGTGTTGGAGGCGTGGTCGAGTCGGCAAAAAGCTCATGGTTGATAAATTCGAACAAAGTCTCGAGTTCAAACCCACTGGCAGATAAATCTCGATCCCCTTCAACACTAATAATTAAGAACGAAGAAGAAGAAGAAGAAGCTACTTTTCTAACATAACCAAATATATAGTCAAACGTTTAATTAATATTCATTTAAGGTACCTTGCATGGCCAAGCTCTTACCCAAGGCTGCTGCCAGGAGTCTGTGCACCAGGATGTCTGGGTACCGGCGTATTGGGGACGTGAAGTGAGTAAATCTTTCAACATTTAGTGAGTAGTGGTGCTGGAGGCTGGATTCTGGGATTGCACTACAACAGAAGTAATCTGCTTTCTGCAACAGACAAGACAGCATTATCTTATCTGAGCCAATAGAGCAGAATTAAAGTCATGTTCTTACAATCTGTGATTTGTAAATATTTGAAGTGTTTACATCATTACCATCATACACAGACTAATTTATATCATCTTCTTCGTGATGTGTAGACTACTAGAAGGTACAAAACATTGTTGTCATATTCCCTAACTTGTGTTGATTAATATAGTGCATACAACAGACATCATTATGATCGTCTCTATAATGTGAGTACTACTATAGCGCAAACAGGTACCAACATGTTTTCAGGCTTGCATAAACTACTTAAGCAATCTCACATGAATTATAAACAAAAAGAACCAACCTGCATGGATTTTGATAGCATCACAGCTAGTACTTGCATCATGGGGTGAGGTACACCGTCTTCTTTGAGGTGCTGTAATGACTTCTGTGGCACATACATTTAATTTATAGAAGAGAATTTTGTGAAAGAAATACTAAAGTATTTGTCACTCAATTTCATTTTCGTGGGAGAGATGTCAGGGGAAGAAAAACTAAAGTATGTGTCAAGGGACGGAACTACGGTGCCGCCAGACCCGGCAGCGCGGGGGTTAGCTAATTGAAAAGAAGATAATAATAAAATAAAAAACGTCGGTATAGGTCGAGTTATCTTTCTTCTACAGTTACAAATAAACACTATAGTCGGCAAACGTCTTTGAGAAAAAAGCAAAAACTATAGCTTGAAAGACCGTGAAACATGTAGACAATTTCAATGAGATGTAGAGGAGTTTGAAAACGATAAACAAAATACTTCTGATTCTGGTAATGCTAAGCTGAATTATATTACTACAGATAAACATAAAGGAAGTTTTGACGAAGAAATAGACAGTGATTCTACGACTGGTGGCTTATTTTCTACAGATATTGCAGATTATTAGGACAAAATATTAACAGATGATGTCAAGAGAAATATAATAATGTCCGCCTCTTGTTGACCACCTCGAGGACCTTTTAAACGAGATCCTTTACAACATAACCGGATGTTTTCTAAAGAGTTTTATAGAACTTCAACAACAAATGGGTTTATTAAAAGGTTGTGGCTGTTTTATTCTCCTAAGTTGGATGCTGAATATTGCAAGCTGTGTTGGTTGTTTTCTACTTAAAAAACGAAAGTTGGCGTAAAAAAAAGGTGTTAGAGACTGGCTAGGGCTTTCAAAAAAGATAAAAGTACATAACAAATCCACTTTTATATTCGATCATGTTGCATCTACGAAAAGTAGAAGAACAATCAAACAATTGATAAACACTTAGAGGAGCAAATCCTCTATGAATCAAACTTTTGGGTACAAGTGTTAAAGCGTCTAACTAACATTACTTCAATGTTTTCTAAAAATTATTTCTCTTTTGACGGACACCGTGAAAAACGGCACGAAGGGTATAATGGAAATTTTTTTCTCCCATGAGAAACTTTTATCCAAATATGACAACGTAATGAAACAAGGAACTAAGAAATATTTAAGTCACAAAATTCAAAACAAAATTATACATTGCCTAGCAACAAGCCTAAAGACTACAGTAGTCGCTGAAATTAAAATCGCGTCCTTTTATTCCATTATTATGGACACTACACAGGATATTACAAAAAGCGACTTACACAGTCCAGTATTTCGATACCTAAAGATTAATCTAAACGATACAAATGAATCTACATCATTTGAAATAAGAGAAGTATTTTTAGGGTTAAATGAAATAGTAGATCATTCAGCGGACGGACTGTATCAAGAAATATTAAAGATGCTTAAAGTAAATGAAATAAACTTATTTAAATGCCGAGAACAAGCCTACGATGGTTCAAGTGTTGTGAGTGGGGCATATAATTGTGTTCAAGCTCTCTTGAGAAATGGTGTTCTAAGTGCTCTGTATGTTCATTGTGCTTCACACAACTTGAATCTTGTAATAAATGATGCCGTCAAGAGCTGCAAGAAAGTTTCTTCATTTTTCACAACATTAGAAAATATATATTCCTACTTTGGCAACAGCATAAACAGGACCTACTATCACAATTTACAAGAGAGTCAAAGATTACCCTGAAACGACTCATTGAGCTGGAAGATATACTTCTCTTGTGGCAGTTAAGCTTCGGTTTTTAGATATAATGATAGCTTTGACCTATCATTGAAAAGTATCAAGAAAGACACATTTTAGTTTGTTTATATTTGCGTGCTTCTGTCCAAGGTATTAGCTGAAGTGCATTTCCCATCAACCATGTTACAGACACAAAATTTTATATCATGACTGCAACTGACTCTCTAAATACTGCAAGCACACATTTAAAACAATATAAAAACCAGTACAGTTTAGTTACAGATGAAATAATACAAATAGCGGACTAATTGAAGATCAATCAAAGTTTCCCACGGAAGAGGCAAAAACTATTTAAAAACATTGTGATGAACTATCCTGTGACCACCGTTTTGGAAATGAAGACGACTTTAGAGTTAATGTATTCAACTTTGTGTTGGACATCAATCAAATAGAAAAGAGATTTCATGGAACGCATGTACTTTGTTCGCCTTCTTAGCTCCTTCACAGTTAGTAAAACTTTAAGAGAGAGACATTTTAAAATCTGCCGAAGCTCTACAATTAAAATACAGAGATCTTTCATGTGAATTTCCTTTACAAAGTGTTATGAAACAGATAGCCTCAATGCTGAAAGATGAACTTGTGAAAATATCAACAATTAAAGATTAGGGAGAACTGTAATTTATCAAGTACTCCTCAATTTCTTCAAGTTTTCAGAAGTCTTAACTGCATTATTTAATTTCTAACTCTACCTGTCACAGTGATTACAGAAGAAAGATCATTTTCCAAACTTAAAATAATAAAGATCTATTTACGCTGCTCCACGGGCCAAGAACGTTTGTACAATCAGTATATATATATATATATATATATATATATATATATATATATATATATATATATATATATATATATATATATATATATATATATATATATATATATATATATATATGTAATGGTCAAAGTCCGAAGTCTCCCATTGGCTGGTTAAAGTCTGAAAATTGACTTGATTTCGGGGTCCTAGGTGCTTTGACCACAGGTGCTTTGACCATTGGGGGTTTGACCATAGGGGGGTTGACCACAGCGGAGCTGCGACAACAAATGAGCTTTGACAATAGAGGGTTCGATCATAGGGGGTTTGACCATAGGGGTTTGATCATAGGGGGTTTGTCCACAACGTGGCTTTGAACACAGAGGGGGGCTAACCATAATATGTAGATTTTAACATATAAATTATAAACTGTTTTGATTTAAATTTATGATAAAATTAAAACGATTTTATACATGTTTCATAAGGGTACGTTCATAGAAATTAACATGTATTAAAAATAAACCGGGAGTGATCTCCCCTAAACTTTCTCGAATATTCTAATATAAAATTACGAGGGATGGCAACTCAGGACATAGACAATATTTGTTATCCATTTTTAATTACTTAAACTTTTTATAATAGAATAGAATCTCGTAAAAAAAGAATTGCACACCAAGTGAAAAGTTTCCCTTTTAAACCTGACGGTCTATGGGGCAAGAGAAGTAGAGTTCACTTGTTTCTGTGACCTCGGCATATAAAGAGATAGTGTGGTCAGCAGTATGCCCAGCCGCCTTTACTTCTCCTAACAGGAGTTAGGTACCCATCAGAGTTGGGTGGACTCAGGGACGGTCTACTGACTTGAACTCGGATTCGAACTCGAGACTAACGGGTTAGCAGTCCAGCTCTCTACAGCTAAACCACTCCGTCCCACACCAAGTGAACGCCTAATAAAATGTGCATAAAAGTGCGGGATATTTTTAGTACTTTATAAATTTACATGCGTTTTTTGAGAAATCGGAAATAGCGTAAATTAGTACTTCCGGTCAATGGAAATTACTCAAAATTTGACAAAAGGTAGAAAATTAGATCCTTTACTTAAGTGTGAAATTTCATTTATCTATCTGAAATAGTACTCAAGTTATAGGCTTTTACAAAATTCAAAGTAGAAAAAGTACCACTTCTGGTTATCGGAAATCGCTCAAAAGTTGATCATTATCTACGGTTTTGATATAATACTTATATATGAAATTTCATTAACCCCGCTGTTACGGTACTCAAGTTATCGTGTTTACTTACAGACACACAGACAGACACACAGACATACGGACAAGATTGCAAAATTATGTTTTTCCGTATCAGTGAGGTGTGAAACGTCGAGATTTATAAAAAATCTCGATTTTTTTTATTTGCACGATTACAAGACTTTCTCTATACGAGAAATTAAAAAAGTCAAGAACGATATTTTAGTCTCCACATAAAGGCTGGTGCTAGACTTCATAGATTTATTTTAAATATAAACGGAACACAAATAATGCGACGTATAACCAGTTTCACAAATAAATAATGTAGATGTACTTGAAAATACATAGCATATATAAAGGATAAAATAAAAGTTTTCTTTGGTAAAGCGTGCAAAACATGATCTGCGAGAGTTTAAGCGACTGTCATTTGTGTGTATCTGCTGGCGTAGAAAACTGAAGACTTACTTGTATATCCCCCGATGTAGCTGTTTCTATCCTTAATCCGAAACTTTCACACACTTTTTTCTGGAAATTTAAAGTTTTATAAAAAGGGTAACTTAGATTATAATGGACAATCTGGTAACTTAGATGAGACAGACTAACAGGGGTTACTTGGATTATACTGGATAATGGGGAAAATTGTGTTATGCTGGATAAAGAGGTAACACTATGTCTATTTTACCTCTCAATTATCTAACGTATCAATGTTCTAGTTTGTTTTAAAATGAATACATCTAATAAACAGTGAATGTTTGAACATGTTACAAATGCTTGGATCAACAACTGAATAGTCAAATTAAAATTTATAAAATGTTAAAGATTATGAGATAGCATGGCATTCCTGAATGATCTTACTATTTCATCCAAAGATTTGACTTGAGGTGGAGGTTGACGTCTGAGGATGGCAGTGTCCTGGAAGCTTTTTTTAATCCTATCTGCGACAGACATGTTAGCAAGCAGCATGAACTCTTCTATCAACCTGTATAACAAAAAAAAACCATTAGCCCACAGCCGATTACAAATTATGGATGCACTACTTCATTATTATGTAAAATATACAGCTTTTAAAAAATAAACTGTTTTTTTTTTTCATTCAATTTAGTGTGTCAATTGCCTTTGATTAAACAGTAAAAGTAGTGAATTAATTTCTTGATACAAACTGATTATATGCGGTTTTTCGTGGTTTTTTTCATGCTTCTCTCAATTCGGAGTGGGTGGGGAAAGAACATCCACTACCCAGAAAAACAGATTTAAAAGAAATCTCATTTTATATTGGTCTAAGCTCCTAAGTTCTAATGTCTCTTATCTTGGAGATGCTGGACATCCTTACTTTCTTCAAGCTTGACATCCTTACTTTCTCAAAGCTTGACATCCTTACTTTGATATCCTCATGATATGAGGGGATAGTGTGGTTGAATGGTAGAGCAGAGAATCACTAACAAATAGTCTATAGTTATGTCCACTCTATTCAGGTAAATTAAATGTGGCTGGATTTAATGCTGAACTCTTACTTCACTGTGGGTTTAGTTAACATTTTTAAAACTCTTGACATACTACAACAAACAGCAGATAAAAAGTGACATCAAAACCTCACCGATGACTGTCCTTCTGCTCATACACAGAATAGCCATTCGGTAAACCCGATATCTTATTTAGGGCGAATTGTACTTTGACCTGATCCAGTTCCAGTGCCCCTTTGTCAAATCGTTTCTGCCTCAAATTTACCGCTATCTGTAAGCATACACAAATCAACATAATTTATTCACACATATCCATAAAATCGCAATATTTATATCTTGAATTAATTAAATTTGAAATTTAGCATAGCTCTAGCTTTCTATTAGATTAGAAAAACAGAAGATGTGTATTTACTATTTAATGAAACTAATATTCAACCATTAAGAATATGGGCATAAAAACCACTTTTTGTTCCCATATGTCCATGCAAAAAGAACGATACTTTTATTTAAAATTATTTTAAAATATCAACACATACAAAAATATAACAGGAAAATAATCTCATTTTATTAACTAACACGTTTTTCTTAACTCAGCTTCGCGTTTGTTTGTTTGTTTGTTTGTTGTTAAAATTAACAACGAAAATTAGCCCACTTCTGATTGCTCTAGAGATCTGAAATGCGGCATGCAGGCTATTTTCGCCTAACAATTTCAGGTGCAATCATAAAAACGAGCAATTAGAGACCTAAATTAGCTTAATTAAATTACGCCCCTTCTCTATAACCGTTATGTTTGAATCTGTGCCATCCATGCATGTCCCAAGTGGTCTAGTGCTTAGGATTCCGCGCTCTCACCGCGGCGGCCGGGGTTCGATTCCCCACTTGGGAATCATTTTTATATCGGAGATAGCCTTTACGACTTTGCATTTTTTGAATTACTAAAATATAATTGGCTACTTAGAAAATTTGCGATATCATTGGGAAGGCGTTTATCTTGAAAGACGCTATTAGAAATCAGTGAAGTTTAAGTTACGAGTTTTAACTTAAACACACCCACTTAGAAAAAGTACTTTTGTCCTTGTTTACTGTAAACTTTTTTAAAACCACGTTTTTCATGTGTAGCAACGGACTAAAAAGGAGGAAAAAAAATACTTAAAAAAACTTTTTAAAAAACCACGTTTTTCTTGTGGACTAAAAAGTAGAAAATAAATTTTTCTTCCGACCCTAGGGGATCTACCAATGACTGCTCGTAGATTTTGTGCTTCCTCGAGCTGTGCAGGTTCTTGTGATGACTGTTCATACATTTGATGACAAAAAACGTGGGTCGGGCAGATTTATGATTAAAGCGAAAAGCACACAACACACGAATTTTGGAAATTTGATGGTGAACGTACCCACGTTTTTTGTCATCAAATGTATTTGAATATTTTAATAGTTTACAAATTATAAATAAAAGCTTGATCACAAAAAAAATTGGACAAATAGAAAAAATAAAAATATTTTTAAAAACCACACACATCTTTTACAATTATTCCGATACACAAATTATTTTAAATGCAAAAAAAAAATCAACATTGTCATTGGAACTACTTTTTTTATCAATATTACTATACTAATTAAATTATAATCAAAGCCCAACAGGAGACAAATCTAGGAGGCATTTTGCTCAGTGCTACTAAATACTACACAAGGTTTGGTATTACAAATTACTACTTTAAAATCAATGCTTCAAATATTTTTTACACACAGTGTTACAAATTACTATACATTAGTGTAACATATTACATTACTTTATTTAACAAAATAACTTTGGTGACTATATCACTAGCTGTAAATGAGTTGGTGATGGTAGGTAACTCGTCATGGCGCCATTGTATTTCTGGATCTTCAATAAAGCCCTAATAAAACATAATAAAAATACAGGCAATGCACTTATTTAATGTTTATGTGTTCTATACAATAAATATTTACAAGATGTTTTTGTGAGAATAATATATAACGAGCCGACCCGCGGCGTATGACACGCCGCTATTTAGTTTTATTTTCTACTTAACAGTAATTCATAATTTGTGAATTTGACAGTACCAATGCTGTCACTGAAAATATTTGCTTTAAAACACTAAAACCCTCCTTTCCTCTACCCCCCCCCCCGTGAAAGCAGTGAAATCAGCCTCCTCTTAGTTACCTCTTCTAAGTTTAGAATAGTTTCAAACTAAATTATCTGCCCCATATAGGCGTCACTAAACCCGGCTCTACGATTGTAAACACAGCTCACCAGACTTCCTAGAGAGGAAGAGAGGGGACTGCAAGGCGCGCGCTTGTTTTCTAACGTCTCCAAGAAGAGAATTATATATAGAGATATACGAGCCAACCTGCGGCGTATCATACGTCAGTTGTTTTATGTAGTTGTTTTATTTTCTACTTTTTAGTAATTCATAATTTATGAATTCGACAGTACCAATGCTGTCACTGAAAATATTTGCTTTAAAACACTATCAGTAGCTCGTTAAGGACGATAACCCCCCTCCTTTCCCCAACCTCTTCCCCCTCCTCGTGAAAGTTAACTCCTCTTAGTTACCTCTCCTAAGTTTAAAATCGTTTCAAACTCAATTATCTGCCCATAATAGCCGTCACTAAAACCGACTCTACGACTGTAAACATTTAGCGTGAACTACAGCTCACCAGACCATGTAGGGGTGGGGGTGGTAGGGAGCGCGCTTACAGCTTGGTGTTTTCTGTCATCTCCAAGAAGAGAATTATATAGATAGATAGATAAATTGAGAAAATAAATAAAAAATTTAAATTATATAGACAGATGTATTGTGCAGGATATTGTGTAGTAAATTGTTTTATCACTTAATACAAGTGTTAGCGGTATAATACTGGTTTAACCAAAATCTTAACTAAAGTTATTTCCCCTATCCCAAGTCAAATTAGATGAGGGGGTCTTAACAAGACACTTATGACAATAAAGTTTACACTAGTAGATACTCATTCCTAAATGGGTTTATTTCTCACAAAATGAGCAAGTGTTGCTTACCTGGGCATGCTCATAGCTTAGTTTCACACAGGACCTTATAACAGATCGCCCATACCATTCATCAAAAATCTGAAGATGTTAGAAAATGCTCAGTGATTATAATAATACAAAATATTTTATTTTGTGAAAAGCTAAGTTTTAATAGGATTTTTAATACGTAAACCACTTTACTATTGCATTTATATCTATCAGTATAAGTCTTTAAGTGAGAAAGCTCTATGCAGTAAAAATGTTTGCTAGAAAAAAGAAGAGCATTTAAAAAAACAAAATCAAATAATGACTTACTTCCCCTTTCTCATTGAGGGTCCAGATCACAGAAAATGTAAGTCTTTCTTCATCAGGGTTGAGGCTGCATAGTTGCTCACACAATAGACGAGGAAGCATAGGAACGACCTGTGTAAGACATGGAATAAATTAACACAGCTAAAGTAAACACACTACACACATGCTAACACAACAGATGAGGTAACATAGGGAAGACCTGTGTAAGACATGGGACTCAATTAACACAGCTAAAGTAAACACACTACACACATGCTAACACAACAGATGAGGTAACATAGGGACGACCTGTGTAAGACATGGATTCAACACAGTTAAAGTAAACACACTACACACATGCTAAAACAACAGATGAGGTAACATAGGGACGACCTGTGTAATACATGGGACTCAATTAACACAGCTAAAGTAAAAACACTACACACATGCTAACACAACAGATGAGGTAACATAGGGACGACCTGTGTAAGACATGGGACTCAATTAACACAGCTAAAGTAAACACACTACACACATGCTAACACAACAGATGAGGTAACATAGGGACGACCTGTGTAATACATGGAACTCAATTAACACAGCTAAAGTAAACACACTACACACATGCTAACACAACAGATGAGGTAACATAGGGACGACCCGTGTAAGACATGGGACTCAATTAACACAGCTAAAGTAAACACACTACACACATGCTAACACAACAGATGAGGTAACATAGGGACGACCTGTGTAATACATGGGACTCAATTAACACAGCTAAAGTAAACACACTACACACATGCTAACACAACAGATGAGGTAACATAGGGACGACCTGTGTAAGACATGGGACTCAATTAACACAGCTAAAGTAAACACACTATATGGTGTACCCAAAGCTGGAGAGCGCTCGACTGCTAACCCAGAGTCGTCCCAGCTCTGATGAATAGCTAACTCATCTTAAGGAAATCGAAGGAAGCTGGGCAAAGTGCTGACGACACTTTCTCTTCATATACAGAGGTCTAGAAGCAAATTAACTCTACTTCATTCATCTGCCCAACGGACTGTAAGGGTATTCTTTACTCTTATTCAAATACCTGGCAGTCCAACATTAATAAAAAAAAACCTAGTGGTCCATAAGGTGCTTAAATCTCTCAGTAAATCCATCTTTTATTTATAGTAATGTCAAAGCATTGATTTCGTCGTGGTATTTTTTCAGACTTTTGTAATTTACCGCTCTGTCTCTTCAAGACAAAAAGAAGGAAATTTTTCGAAGCAAATCACTTTTTCAAGCAAGGCATATGGTCTTTTTTATTTTCCTTGCAGTTTTACACTTAGCTCATTTAGTTTCTTTGTGATATCCACCATGAAGTTTAATGTTTCAATTCGGAATGGACAATTTAATAGGAAGTACATTGAAAAAAAGGAGTAACTGGATATTCTAATAGAATTCAAATATAATTGTTTATTGTCAAAATTTATTATTGTATCATTCATTACCGAATGTTGCAGAACAATATTTTTATGAGTTTTGAAAATAAAATAAATTATTAATGATAATTAACGATTAATATTTGTGCATGCAGCTGAAGAGCCGCATATTGACATCAAAAGAGCCGCATGCGGTTCGCGAGCCGCAGCTTGCCTACCCCTGGGATAAGTGATCAGCTTATGCCCTGCCTACCAAACAATGATGGCTATCTATTAAACCCTACCTTTTGCACTAGATAAACACTAGTTGCCCTACGTGATGCCACCATGTCTAGCTCTGTGTCCTCTTTCACAAAATAGCTAACATCAGCAATGTGTACTCCAACTTGGAACTTTCCTGGGACAAAACACATCAAATTATATAAAGTTAGGAACATCAAATAATGTGTAATAATGGTACTGAACAACAGATTCAAATATCAAAGTTAAAAACATAAATAATAACAATCTACATTTTGCGTTAATCTGAACGGCTATAAATTTAGTTTAACAAAGTATTCTAAAAATATATCAAGTAATGTTAATCTTGTTTTACAGTTGGATAAAAAAAGAAACATCTCCACATTACCACCACCCAGTTCTTCAATGGAGAGCGCATCATCTAAGTCTCGAGCAGTAGCTGGGTCTATGGTAAAGATACAAGATCTGCGGAGATCCTTACGATAGGAATATTCTAAATCAGGGATGGTCCATGTGCTATTGGTAGGTAGACACTGAATTACCTGAAGGGAAACAATGTAAATATAGAATGGAGATGTTATAGCTGTGAGTACATGTTTGAATTTACTTTGTGCACAAAACAAGGGTTTAACTGAGACAGTGTTCCATACATTGATAATGTTATTGAAATAAATATGCTATAACTTTTCGTAAAGAGATAATCTTGTTCAGGGGTATATCGTAATTTTTTTTCAATATTTAACTGCCGTTAGGTGTTGTGTAGTTTAGTGACAATTCACAAAACTTCTCATGGTTAAATAACATATTCTTTGCAATGACATGTTCCCTTGAATGATGCAATGAGCGGATTATGCTCCATAGGATGAGGAGATTCACTGGGATGACAAGTTTTATGGAATTTTATGTTCCATAGTATGATATTATATTGATATGTACAAGGAATAACATCATCCCTGGAATGGCATGTTCCCTCGGATGACAGGTTTCCTGGACTAGCGTTCCCTGAAAGGTTCCCTAGAATAATATACTACCTTGAATGATATACTCCCTGGAATGTGTTCCCTTGGATGATAAGTTTCCTAAAAAATACGCTCCCTAAACAGTTTATACCTCTATGCCCCATTACGCCTTGAGTGTCAATGCTAACATTATTGTAACGAGTTTCACGCTGTCAACGGTCTGCTATCACATAACAAAATTAGCATCAAGTCTGAACTCCCCAGACTATATTCCCTGTATGTGATGGTGTGGATAGACTGACCTTGTCGCTGAAAGGAGAGTCATCGATGTCTAGTTCTATCAACAAGGCGCTGGTTTCAGGATCAATCTCCCCAGCCTCTCCCAGACTCCTGACCAGTGTTCTGTGGACAAACAAATAAAATGCTCAGATATAGCACATCTAGCGTTTTTTTAACCACATAAAAATTATACAACAGGATCAATTGCTCGGGTTTTCAGAATAAAAACTTACGATTCGATAATTTATTTTTTTTGCACGCAAAGTAACATTCTATACAATAACATCATAGACTTCGCGTTAATTCATACATTAAGTTAACATGTTAATTAGTATTAAGAAAAAAAAGTTATATCAAAACAATGGAAAGTGAACATTGTCCTTTGGACTTTATTTCATCATTTCTTTAATTAAGTGCGAGTTTTCTCTCAGATTTTAATAAATGATTATCCGTTTTCGCGTGATGAATTGCAAATGCCTAACTTACAACACAATCCTGCATCGTTTTAGTATGTGAAACTATACAGTATGTAGGTGGCTTGATTTTTTGTGTGTTGTCTAAGTGTTTAATGTGTGTGTGTAATTAACACGAACGTCTAAGCCATTTGCATATGTAAATATGGCATTCGTGTACATTAATTTACAAGTTTATATTGTTTAATCATATGCATTGTTTTTCCTGAGACACTATTTTGGGTCACGGAAATCGGTCGAAATTCGACAGAATTAATAGAATAAAATAACCGCTGTCTAACTAATTGAATCTGTAAACAAATGAATCGATATTTTATAAACCAAAAATTTAAAAAAGCAACAGTAATAGAGTAAAGAACCGCTTTCGGTTATCGGAGGTCACTGAAAATTGAAAGTAATTCAAGCATAAGATCTTATACTTCTATATGAAAGTTCATCTTCCTGACTGAAAGAGTACTCAACCTAGCGAGTACCCATCGCCGGTAAACAGAAATAGTTCAAAAGTCGAAATAAACCGGCGAATTTTATTAAATTCTTATATAAAAAATTTCGTTCACCTAACTTAAACGGTGTTCTAGTTATTGGCTTTTGAGAAACTGGAAGTAGAGTAAGTTCCACTTCCAAAAGTTTGCACAAATATGATATGATCTATATATATATATATATATGAAATTTCGTGAACATAACTGAAACTGTACTGAATTTAACATGTTCACTGACAGACACACAAGCAGATAGACAGATAAACACACACACACACACACACACAGAGATGTTAAGAATAGGTTAGAATAGAATAGAAAACAGAGATAGTGCGTCTGTGAGTTGAGTTTAACTCCATATGTTAAGTATTGTAATGTTAACCCAAGGTCCAAAGAACGATTGCGGTGGGGCTTTTTTGGGTTAGATAGCTGGTAACTTGTTAATATGGAATGTGTATATTGGTGAAAGAGGGAGTAAACAGTCTGAATAAAACATTGTTGACAACAGTTAATCGGACAAAATTGCGAAACGAAGTTTTCCTGACTTATAGAGGTTTAAAATGTCGACAGTAGTCAAAATCTTTGTCTATTTTTTGCAGTAACAATACTTCCTCTACACTCATATACGAGAAAGCAAACATATAACGTAAGGTCTCATCCATGTAAGGCGTACAGAAAATTGTTACAGTTTAGACCTTCACTTCCCCCGTCTGCATAAAGAAGCGTACCTGAGACAAGAAAAATGTAGAGTGTAGTGAGAAAAATAAGTATGTAAACACCAAGTTCCCTTTCGAACCTGGCGGCACTTAGGCCACCGAAGTAGCGTTTACCTGTTTCTGTGACCTCGGCATTTGAAAATTGAGTAATTATGTTTTAAATGTCAGAGAATAATGTAATATTTATTCTATTAATTTCCTCAATAACCAACCACGCACTCACGTAAAATATTAAGCACTTTTTTGTATGTGTGTAATGACGCTAGTTTAGGTTAGAAGTCAAGTCGAAGTTAGCTGAAACAGAGTATAGCTTAGTTAGTTGGACCAATGGAAATACAGGAGCTGACCGGTCACGTAGGACGGTCAGCTGACCAATGAAGCGTGGGTCAGCAGACGGTGATAGATAGCAGTAGAGAACGGACAGAGATATGTAGAAAGTTAGAGGTGGATAGTGTGTTAAGGATGGTCGATGGGAGTGTGTAATTAGATAGAAGTAGTAGTAGACAGTATATAGTATAGACTAGTTAGATAGAAGTAGTAGTAGACAGTATATAGTATAGACTAGTTAGATAGAAGTAGTAGTAGACAGTATATAGTATAGACTAGTTAGATAGAAGTAGTAGTAGACAGTATATAGTATAGACAAGTTAGATAGAATTAGTAGTAGACAGTATATAGTATAGACTAGTTAGATAGAAGTAGTAGTAGACAGTATATAGTATAGACTAGTTAGATAGAAGTAGTAGTAGACAGTATATAGTATAGACTAGTTAGATAGAAGTAGTAGTAGACAGTATATAGTATAGACTAGTTAGATAGAAGTAGTAGACAGTATATAATATAGACAAGTTAGATAGAAGTAGTAGCAGACAGTATATAGTATAGACTAGTTAGATAGAATTAGTAGTAGACAGTATATTGTATAGACTAGTTAGATAGAAGTAGCAGTAGACTAGTATATAGTATAGACTAGTTAGATAGAAGTAGTAGTAGACATTATATAGTATAGACTAGTTAGAAGTAGTAGTAGACAGTATATAGTATAGACAAGTTAGAAGTAGTAGTAGACAGTATATAGTATAGACTAGTTAGAAGTAGTAGTAGACAGTATATAGTATAGACAAGTTAGATAGAATTAGTAATAGGCAGTATATAGTATAGACTAGTTAGATAGAAGTAGTAGTAGACAGTATATAGTATAGACTAGTTAGATAGAAGTAGTAGTAGACAGTATATAGCATAGAGTAGTTAGATAGAAGTAGAAAATTGATTTGTGTTAAATAAAGAATATAGTATATGCTGAATTGGATTTTTGTGTGGTGATTTCACAAAACTATACCAGGCTCGGTTTCATCTTCGTCACCCCGACCCTCACAACTGGTGGATGGTTGATTGCCATCACCCCCGACCCTCACAACTGGTGGATGGTTGATTGCCATCACCCCCGACCCTCACAACTGGTGGATGGTTGATTGCCATCACCCCCGACCCTCACAACTGGTGGATGGTTGATTGCCATCACCCCCGACCCTCACAACTGGTGGATGGTTGATTGCCATCACCCCCCGACCCTCACAATGTGGAAAACAAATGTTAACAATATTATTTTCTATACTCGTAGGATATATTTTATAATTAATGCTAACAAACATATTCACAATCGTAATCAAGTTCAGGACTTTTTATTCCGTTTACGTAGTCACTCACCTACAAAGAGGTAAGCATATTAATTGTAAGCTTTTATGGGTAGTCCATAAATGACGTCACACTTCGAAGTGTGAAAATGAAACTAAGAGATTTTTCTGAAAGCATAACGACAAGCTTTAGCAAAACAAATTGTTAGATACTTCATTTCAACCGTTAGTATTTCCACACCTAGAGCACCAATAAAAGAAATCATTTGCCTGCCGCATTCAATAAAGACTGCTCGCTACCAGACGAGATTGAGTCATAAGTTGTATATCAGACATCGCCTGTGGCCTATGCCACATGTGCATTGAGTCGAGCACACTAAGTACAGTTTCGTTCTGTCGTATGAGGACCAATGTATGGGTCTGGTCCAGTTTCTCAAACTCTGCTCTTTCAGCTCAGCTTTCAGAAGAACTTTATGGGTGTGATTTAGCGGACTGACAAAGCGTTTATCCACAAGTGCAATTTTTCAAATAATTCATATAACAAATAAAAACAATGACAATCCTAGATGGAGCTACAAGAACGAGAACTTGTGAATGGCCACTTATATGTCATAATGTGCTGTGTACAAAAAAATCACCACCAAGTAGCTAAATATTTTTTTGCATTACTTCACAAACTGCTTACGTAAAATGCTTGAGATAAGCTTAGTGGCTCACTAGAAGTACCAAACAGATACATCAAACTTTTAAAGTCATCAGCACAAAAAAAACAGATATCAAACACTCACCCTTTTGGCATTTTTGAACTCTCATCCCACTGTAGAACGCTTGCCATAAACAATGTCTTCGAAAAGACGTCCGGGTTCTGATAAAAACCTGAACCACATAAGGAAGAAACAAAAACGATTAAAATAATAAAATTATATTTTAAAGTCTAAATAAAAAAGTTAATTTGATTGTGAGTGTAATGCAAATTTTAATTTTACGTAATTTTATTTTAAAATAATTTTAGGTACATATAAGATTAAGAGTACATTGTTTTGATACAATTTTTGGAACAAGCAAAAACTAAGGCCTGAAAATAAAACATTGAAATATTTACAAGACATAGACAAGGTATATTCATAAAGACCTAATGCATGCAAGAAAGAAGTTAAATTTTTTTTTTACTTTTTGCTACACCACTGTTTATATACAAGTTTTATTGTGTATGACTTATATTACTTATAACAACTTGCTTTTTTTTAAATTTTTTACTTTCTCGTTTACAGAGTATAGATAAAGTATTGTAATCGTGCACAAAAATAACTTGAAATTTTGAGTTTTCACTGTTTTACACCTCAGTCCGTCATCACATCCGTAGGATAGAGGACTTATTTTAATAGGGCAAAAATTATAAATCCAGTTTTATAAATAAAAAATTGGCGTTTTATGCGTAATTCACATGCGTTTTTTGAGAAATAGGAAAGAGTGAAAATTACTACTTCCGGTTAACGGCAATTACTCAAAATTTAAGAGAAGGCAGAAAATTAGATCTTTTACTTGCGTGTGAAATTTTATTCATCTATCTGAAATAGTACTCAACTTATAGGCTTTTACAAAATTCAAAGTAGAAAAAGTTCCCTTTCCGGTTATCGGAAATCGCTCAAAACTTAATACGGATCGACGATTTTGATATAATACTTATAAATTAAATTTCATCAACTTAGCTGTAACGGTACCCAAGTTATCGTGTTTACAGACAATAATCCACACATCCACACATACACGCACAGACATTCGGACAAGATTGCAAAAGTATGTTTTTCCGACTCAGGGAGCTGTAAAACGTCGAGATTTGCAAACAACTCTATTTTTCACATTTTTTGTGTACGATTACAAGACTTTCTCTATTTTTCGTATATATGAGAAAGTAAAAAAATCTATAATGCTGTGCCCTAACCTATAGGACATTCTGACATTGGAATAAGAATCCTGGGTATTCTAATGTCTGTAGGTGTGAACAAGGCGAATTTTTTGAGCTTGTTTAGCATCAAAGTCAGGCGTCCAGTGGCGGTCCTTGAGTGCTTCTTCTCCTTGATAAACACCACCTAAAGTTGGAAGGAATCCCATTATTTGTACACAACTTAAAGTTAGAAGTAATCACATTAATTGTACACAACCTAAAGTTGGAATGAATCCCATTAATTGTACACAATATAAAGTTATGAGGGTCTACGCTACCTAAATCAGCAGTTATAGTATATTTAATGTAGAAAACAATACAACATAAAAGACTGCTATAACATTACGGGCCACAACTCTACACATTGAATGATAATGTAAAAGGTTACGTAATTTTGTTATTTTGTTTTAGACTATATATGCCTATTAAAGTTACTATACATATGCCTATCTCATTTAGATATGCATATTAAATCTATATTGCATATAATAATAATGTACTCTACACATACTTATTATGTCTTCTTTTACATATTATATCTCATTTACATACAATTAAATGGGACGGCGTTATCAGGTATTGCAACGATCAACTGTTAACACGAAGGTCTCGAGTTAGGGCATCATCTGTCTGGACACTCGACTACAGATCGTCCCTGTGTCCACCCAGCTCTGATGAGTATCTAAGTCATCTTAGGGAAAGTAAACGAGGCGGGCATAAGCTGACCACACCATCGTTTCATATCCCGAGGTCAAGACTAGTCAAGAAGCACATGAACTCTATTGTTCTTGCCCTATGGATAATCTAATGGGACACATTTTGAAACAAACCTTTCCAGTCCGCTGAATGAAACGTAGACACAATTGAGAATCAGGTGCCTCGCTACTGTAGGGATTAATCCTAAATAATTGTTTTGCCAGTGGACTCCCGTTGGTTATCGTATCAGACACAGAGGAGATCTTCTTCATTGGCTTTCCTTTGCTGCTGCCTTGGCTGGGTATGGTCTGAGCTTTGTTCTTGTTACTGTACTGTGGTGATTTATCTTGAAATTTTTCAATCACCCCTTGAGGGCCTGTGGAAACAGAAACTGCATGACAACATACGGAAGGGGAAAGGAGCAAATTAAAGTATCCTATCAAGCATATGTGATACTGAACAAAGATGAAGTCAAGTTTACCTGTTATGATGACCCGTGTAATCTCAGGAGTCGATAGAAAAAACTTAGATAACCATACACATGTATGACTAGAAATGGATTAGAGTGGAACCCACATGGATATAGAAACACAGAATACCAAATCTGACCGGTAATAGATAGGTTGCTAGGGGGCGCGGATGCTAGAATGATGTGAACTGAAGAGACAGTCTAAATATAAAGAGCATAGTTGAGTGTTTTCTCTGCTTTATTCTTATAAGAGGAAGAATAACTAGCTACGTGTATGTCTCAATGTAAGTCAGATATTCATTTCAGCTGAACGACCCTAAGCAGGAGAATAAAAATGCTCAGCTCTATGTATGTCCCAATGAAAATCAAATACGCATTACAGCAGGGTGTTTACCTGCAATATTGTTGTTTCCAATACGTTTACAAATAAGTAACCGAAAAAATAACATTTATGTATACCTAATGTGTCTACATTGGCCATTGCCAATGTGGTCCCCTCATCCCCACCACTCTTCACAATAGCATCTGCTCCAGAATAGTCATCAATTTCATCGGTCACTAAATTATGCTCCTCAACCAAACTGCGCTCATAGTTCTGAAAATCTTCATAAAACACCTGATGTAGACAAAATATTTATTATAGACAAATCCACTCTCAGTATCAATGACTCTGCCTACTTTAAAACTACACTTACTGCTGAGAGCCGAATTGAAAAACTGTAAAATCAAGACCACTTTTAAAAACAAATTTTGGAGCTGGGTAACTGTAAAGTATGTAACACAGCTATTTAGCTAAAAATAAACAAATGCTGCTCTTCTGACCAATACCTACTGACGCCTACTTCATTATTTGTTCTGTGTCTTTTTATTTACACCACTTTCTAATAAGTTTATACACATGTCTTTTTAAGACTGTAGGGATGTATGAAATAGTGTGATACAACCTGTGTTAACTATATACCTGACAAAAGTAAATCTCAATTCTTACAGATAGTCTTCTAGCTAATGATTAGCTGAGAACGAACAGGACTTTATAACCCCCTACCTAGATTACCCCATGTCAATAACCATGTGAGCATTAATCTACCGCCCAAAATCTGGGGTGACAGATCACATTTATTGAGACTAATACATATATATATATATATATATATATATATATATATATATATATATATATATATATATATATATATATATATATATATATATATATATATATATATATATATATATATATATATAAAATAAATAAATATATATTATATATATATATATATATATATATATATATATATATATATATATATATATATATAATATTTATTTATTTTTTATTTATTTATTTATTTATTTATTTATTTATTTTGGCTGATGTGCAAGGCATGATGATATACTGTTGCTTGCGTGGTGGAGGGAGATATAAGCAGCACATAGTTGATTAAAAGCTTACAAGATAATGCTAGTAATGTTTAAATTAATTTATATGCAAGTTTCTCAAGAATTTGTGTAAGCGTCATCAAAGACAAATTACTTCACAATCCTTATTTTAGGATCACCACTTCCTAACAAAATGTCAGACACTCCAACATTCCAAATGGCATCACACAACAGCCTACTTGCTCCACACATACAAGTCAACATTATGCATGCCCATGTATTGGGAAAAAATATTTAAAAATTTGCAATATCTGAAAAATTTCGGTTTACAAAACCATTCAAAAACATAAGCTTGACATCCATTTTTCTGACACCCCTTTCTCACACATTTCTAAAGTCCACTGATGTCATTGTTCGACAACTTGTCTTATATTCCTTGCAGCGAATAAGAAACTTACCCTCCATTTTTCATAATTATACAATTGTACAATTACTCGATCACCATCAAATGATCGGTTTCGATCATACTCTCCATCAATACAAATTTCTCTTTTTCCATCCTAGTGGAGATACAAATCAATAATAAGATCATTCAGTAAATATTAAAGCAATTTCCTTATGACTGCTGAAAACAGTGCTAATAAAGGTCTTTAACGACAAAACATCTACTTAAGGACCTTTAGAAAGCATTTTTCTTCTTTTATTCTTAATTTTAGTGTTGGAATAATACGTGTCAACTTGTTATGCGCCATATAGGACGTTGACTCCGATTTCAGACTGCTTTTCTTTGTCCAACCAAGAACAAACTACAAGACAGAAGTTGTTTGGTTTTGGAGATGTTTCTCCTAGAATGGTTGTTGTATCCAGCTTTTGAGCCTCGTCTGCTCGGGTGTTCGAACTCGAGACTTTTCGGTTTAGCAAACATGAGCTTTAAGGTCTCGATCACGCGACCAAAAATCTTTATGACAGAGTATACAAAAAGTGCTGGTTTGCATTGACAATCTTAACAATTTCCTCTATAAAATAACTCACATTGGTTTTAATGAAAGCAAGATCTTTGTTGTTGCTTAGTATGGTTATTCTTCCCTGCAAGGTACAACATAGCAGGTTACGGACAAATAAAACAAATTCAAGAAGTACACACTTGTAATGTAGGCCATGAGTCTCTAAAATTACAGAATGCTTAAAGTGTAGCTAACAATAGAAATTTCTAATTTCTAAAATTTCTCAAGTTTACCCACCTCAATTAGCTCTCCGCTCTGAATACCTTTTTCGATCTTGTCTTTGGGCCAATATGAATCATATATCTGCTAAGTAAACAACGATTATGTCAGAATATTTAAATTAATATTAAAATTAATATTAATCAAAACAAGGCTAATAATCCTTAAATGTATTTTACATTATTTACATTAAGTAAAAACGTAGTAGTTTTTTAAAAATATATCCATGTTTATATGAAAATTTAAACATTATTCTAAATATTTACTACGAGTATTACAAAATAATCAAAAGTATAAACACAATTGCATTGGTAATGTTAGTGTACTGAATCAATGTGCATAAAATAAACATAATTAATTTGTCGATATGAACTCTATGTGAGAACCAGTAGCGTAGCGAGGGGGGGGGGGGGGGGGGGGGGACATATGTCCCCGGGCGCCGACCTTAGGGGGCGCCAAAATGGGTTGGAAAAATAAATTGAAAGGTTGAGGTGGGGTGCAAATTGAAAGTTTGAGGGGGGGGGGGGTGCAAATCAAAATCTTGAGGGGGGGATCGAAATCTCGAGGTGGGGGTGCAAATCGAAAAGTTTGTCCCCGGGCGCCGGAAAGGGTCGCTACGCCTCTGGTGAGAACTATAATAACTTAATATTTCAACAAATAACTTTCTTTCTTTATTATTGAAACTGCTTGTGAACCTCTATCTGTAGTCTGTTCTCTTACCAATTTCGTTTTTAGAAGTGGTGGAGGCTTAGAGGTAGCTTCGTCTTAAAATAAAAATTAATTAAAACATGCTAGAAAAGTCAACGATGAATAAGTAAATTATTTAAGTTAAAGGTGAAATGGAGACTCCTATGTTGTTGTTGTTGTTTATAACTCTTTGATGGATAATGAAGGCACATATTTAGCAATCAGCACATGTACCACTCTCTTAGTTAATAAAACCGCCTACCAACAACATGGCTGACAACACATTCTAACATATCATTCTGACGTGTCACCGGCAGTTCAGCTGAACTTTTTGATAATACAGACAGAGGCAATTAAGAACAGGAACAAATGCTTTTGTTCTTAGTTTGTTCTTAATTTGTTATTAGTTTGTTATTAGTTTGAAATACTATCATTGTCGATCAAATAAGTCCAAGACAAAGAGTAAAAAATTAAAACCAAAGTAGCCTAACCTTTTTTGTCAACTTTATCTTTTTTGTGGCGGGTTGAGTAAGCTCGTGCGATTCACCACTCTCCTTCTGTAGGCCTCTACAGCTCTATCACATAAAAAGGTGATGTTTTAGTTGATTGATTTTTACTGCTTATTTAGATAACTAAAAATCTTACATCACTAAATATCTATATGCATGAACAACAAAAAAATCCCCAAATAGTTCTCATTTCAGTGATCACTTTATTTTAAAATACATTCTTTTAGGCAAGGTAATATTTTTATGTATAACGATAATGTAGGAAACATCGACCACTAATAGTGCCTAAACTTTACTCGGTCAAAAACTAGGAATGTGCATGTTAGGGGAGAATGGTTTAAATATAATAGCTGAAAATCGGGCGGGGTGTTGTACTAAGTTAGCTGAGCGTTACATGGTTTTACTGTATTATTTAACTGTTTCCTACATCAGTTGTGTGACACCAACATAAAAAACCATTAAAGGACACGGACTGGTAAGAGGCCGTGCTGGGTGAACTGTTTACGTGCTCTACCGTTCACTACAAACTAAAGACGGGCAGACAGCTGAAATTTAGAAAACACAAGCAACTGGATGAAATTTTGGGCAAATTATTTTAGTTGTAGCCCGAGTTTCTTCCAGGCATTTGTTGAAGTGGCGGGGGGGGGGGGGAGGCAGAGTCCCCCGAAGAAAGTCTACCGCCCCCGGAACGAAATGGAATTTATATAGAAAATATATACTTTTACCAGTGTCCGACCCCCTCCACTTTCCGAAAAATTTATTCCCCCTTCCCCCCTCAAAAATATCAAGTTCCCCCCCCCCCCCCATATATCCAACCTATATAAATCCATCTTTTTTTCCTAAATCTTCATGCCAATGTGAATAACGATACAAAAAAAGTGGAGGGCACAAAGTTGATAGTTTGCACTGGGCGCCGGAATGGGTCGCTACGTCTCTGCACAGTACTGAGGATAGCTTACCTCATCATTCTCCTGTGTCCTCTTGCTTCCACCTTTGGGATGCACAGAATCCATAATTTTAATTTTCACACTGGTACTAAATAATAAAAAAATATATGCTAGTAATTTAAATTATAAAAGGGGTAACTAGACAAAAATTATTTCAATTAAGAGTAGGCTACCGTTCTGTAATGTCTGCCATATTTTATTTTCAAGACTGCACGTCTGTGTTGTTATTGAAGATATAAAAATAAACCTTCCAATACCACGTTATGTACACTAACACTTTTGCTGAAATTAATGCTGAATGGAAAAGCTCAGTAGCAGAGCAGTTTTGACAAATATTTGATATTATTGTTATGCACCTTTCAGTATTTGTAAATGTTAAAATTGAGATAATTCATTACTTTATTGTATAAAAAATAGTTATATGTAAGTATGGGCATTAAGATACGGCTGTGTTTATGTTTATATTTGTATTTCTGATTACGGTTATGGTCACGGTCACGGTCAAGGTCATGGTCATGGTCTTTGTTATTTTGTGAACAGTCCATATTTTCATTTAATTACAACATTTTATATATTCCCAAAAAATCAAGCAGAGTCGAACAAACGCTTTTGGTTAACATTGTTGTTGAAATATTATATAGATCAAATATAAATAAGAAATGAATATTTCGTTTCAGCTATAGCCAAAAAAGAGCATTATAATCATAATGCATTAAAAGTTAATTTTAGTTAAAGTCTCTTATTGGTCATTTTTTCGAAGCTGTTATGACTTTTAGGGCTAGGTTAGAAATAGTTCAGGAAGCCCGGGAAAATGAGTGTGTGAGTCAGAGGCGTAGCGACCCTTCCCGGCGCCCGGGGACATACTTTCAATTTGGCGCCCCCTTGGGAGCAAATTTTCGATTTGCACCCCCCCCTCGAACTTTTCATTTGCACCCCCCCCCTCAAACTTTCGATTTGCACCCCCCCCTCGAACTTTTCATTTGTACCCCCCCATCAAACTTTCAATTTGGCGCCCCCCCCTAAGGTCGGCGCCCGGGGACATATGTTTCCCCCCCCCGCCCCCCCTCGCTACGCTACTGTCTCCCCCCACCCCCCCCGTCCCCCACAAGACGGAAAATTCCAATAGGGTGTTGCGTCCACTCTCGATAAGTTACAGGTAAATAAGATTTACTCGTACTGGTCTGTATCATTTGTAACATTACCTGTTATGATACCCTCCAGTTTACTGAAAAGTTTTGTCACACTAGAACCCATTCTTATTTGCACGAGATTATCGTTTCAATTTTACACTCATCAGCTGATCATAGACTTGACAGGAGATCTCTGCAGGAAAACAAAACACTTGAAAAATGCATTAGATGGATTATGTATATCGACAAATGAGGCTCGTTAGCTGAGGACGATAAGAATTTTTCCTCTCCATCTAGGAGAGGAAATTCCAAAACTAATCAAATGGCTGCCTAATAGATTGTTTTTGGGTGGACAAAGGCTACGGGACAAATGATATGGAAGTATATTAGGACATATACATGAAGCATCACTTATAGAGACGTAATAATTTAAAATGCCAGAGGAAATCCCCTACAAAAATAACAGTTAAGAACGAAGAAGAAGAAGATTACTAATAAAGTTGCAAATTTATCTTCATACATCAATTTTCTGCAGCCCTTTGGGCCACAAAATTACGTGAAGTGAATTGAAGCGAATCAATTTGCATCCGTGCTTCACCTTACTCTCATGTGTTACTGTGTAAGTTTTAGATTGGACAATTCTTTAACTCCGTTTTGCTGTGTTAGGACGCCCTTGACGTGTCTCAGGACACGCCCTTGATGTGTCTCAGGTCACGCCCTTGATGTGTCTCAGGACACGCCCTTGATGTGTCTCAGGACACGCCCTTGATGTGTCTCAGGACACGCCCTAGATGTGTCTCAGTACACGCCCTTGATGTGTCTCAAGACACCCCTTTGATGTGTCTCAGTACACGCCCTTGATGTGTCTCAGGACACGCCCTTGATGTGTCTCAGTACACGCCCTTGATGTGTCTCAGGACACGCCCTTGATGTGTCTCAGGACACGCCCTTGATGTGTCTCAGGACACGCCCATGATCTGTCTCAGGAAACGCCCTTGATGTGTGACCAACACAACCGCAGCAACAACATTTACTCGAGTCCATAGGACGTCCCTGAGTCCACCCAGCTCTGGCGGGTACCTGACTCACGTCACGGAAGTTAAAGGCGTCTCGGCGTGGTGTAGACAACATGATATCTTTATATGCCGAGGTCACAAAAAATGGCGAACTCTGCTTCATCTGCCCATGGAGATCCAGGTTCGAAAAGGTATCTTACCTTGCAATTTCTGCAAGATTAAGAACGTAACGGAGATTATCGCTACACCCATATCTTGATCTAAGGCTCACTAAGTGAGGTCTTGTTGTGTATGTCCTGGTTTCGCACAACCATAACAGGCGTCTGGATATGCCACTATGGCACTCACTGGCAATGTGCCATTTTTAATGACACAATTATGTAGCATCGTAACAAAAAAATAAAAGTAATCTG